AAGTGCTTTTTTGTAAACGTGCCTTAATGATTTTGGTGATGGTAACGAAATGTAGGTGTGCCTACGGAGCCCCCTCTAGTACAGTCCATAACATTTAGTATAAATCAAACCAGAGACTGAATACTTTATTTCAACAAGTTCAATAGATATTTTTTCTCTTATATTTCCAAGTTCATATTACACTTAAAACAGTGTGACTACCAGGGAAAACATCACAATTTCACCCCCACTTTTTTAGCATCTGAAATCTTTCACAGGTGTCCTAAAAGGAGACAAAGGTCACGACCTGCAGGTCAAGCCAGTGATCATTAGTTGTTTCTGTAGCAGAAGGTATCTAAATACCACTGCGTGTACAGATGGGGCAGGATTAAACGGGCATATTACTTACGGGGTTATATTTCATTTCATGAAATGAATTCTAAGCAGCATGAAAACAATTGTCAAAACCAAATCACTAAAACTTTTGTCTCTCCATCAGGCTTCTTGTCTCAAGTTAAATCAAAGTTTTCTGTAGAACTGTAAATAATCAAAACTGAAATAGGTAACAAGCCAGATGGGAAAAAACCACACACTCAGCTCGGTGCAGCCCATCACACACACAGCCCACTACATTCTACAAGAAATTACTTTTGCCACTGATTTGCCCAGCAACCACATAACTGTTCTAAACACAAAAATGTTGAGTATTTTGCTTGCCCAGAAGTGGTTTTTGAAAAGGATAAATGCATCTTAACATACATAATTTAGTTTGCAACAAGCCACAAAAATGAAGGGGAAGAAGGCTGAAAAAAGCATATCCGCATGCCATAATACTCTGATCAAAGGCTGCTCAAACACTCAGAGGTGGACCCTTCTGAAACCCTGAAAACGCTCTGCAGTCTGCTAAAAAGTTAAGGCTCTTGTTTTTTTCCCCACTCAATGTCAATCTTACTCTATCGTCAACTTGACATTCTATCTCACTTTCTGGTCTTCACTGCAAGGGTGCTCAGCAAATGAAAAACACTAAGCCTAGGTGCCCTTGGCTCTCCTCTCTGGCCGCAGTGGCAAGCCGGACGCGAGCTTCTGCGGACACTCTGCACACTGTGGGGCTGCTGCCTGCCTCCGTGAGCAGTCAGGTTATACTCCACTGTCACCAGGGCTCCTCAGCATCAGTGCAGTGTTCACCCTAATGAGTTTCTAGATTTTTCTTACAACAGGCAGGGCCAAGTTTCTCAAAGGGGAATCCAGTTCTGTGGCATTCATCCTCCACCATCAAACAAAGCAGCACAAAAGGCAGCGTGGTAGTGTCCATTAAAAAGGACAGAAAAAATGAGGTATGACTGACATTAGCAAGAATCTCTAGTGAACAGACTTAGCTCCGTTATAACTGCAAAGCCACTAGGGATTTTTAATTATTAAAAAGTAAACCATATGTCAGAGAAATAGAAGACAACTCAGTAATCAAGAAGGGCAGGAAACGGTAGTTCTTAATCTCCTTCTGCTCTGTTTTCTGATCCTCTGACGACCTTTTCTAAGCAGCAAAAGCTATATATGAAATAACAATAAATCAATGATATAGCTAAATATGCCCCCGAAACCAAATTCCAGTGTTTACAGATTTACTTAGAAGTCTGTAAAACAATTTAGTTCCTTAGACTAATGTGTGCACCTTTATATTAGATGAAGAACTAAGACCAGTTTTATTACTGACTTATTTTGACAAGCTACTTCTTCAGGCTTTGATTTCTTTAACCATTATAAAAAAAGGTAATCAGGCTCGGTGCCTGTAGCTCAGTGGTTGGGCACTGGGCACATACACTGAGGCAGACGGGTTTGAACCCGGCCTGGGCTCAGCTAAACAACAAGGACAACTACAACAACAACAACAAAATAGCCGGGTGTTGTGGCAGGCGCCTGTTGTCCCAGCTACGTGGGAGGCTGAGGCAAGAGAATCACTTAAGCCCAAGAGTTGGAGGACACAGTGAGACTCTGTCTCCAAAAACAAGGTAATCATACTTGTTATTAGATAATCAAAATAGACTTAGAAATCCCTATAACAAAGAAGGAACCATTATTTATATGGTTTAGCTTGATGGCTAAAACTCTATTTAACTTGATGGTTCTTAAATAAAGTGTCCTGAGAAAAAAGCATCCAGATTTGGGTGTGTACCGAGAATTCCCGGAGACTGATGGGCGATGATGGTGAGTGGCAGAGAAAGCAGATATGCTGTGCTTTCCACAGGAAGCCGGTTAGAGATCCTGAAATATGTACTGATCCTGGCTGGCCACGAGCATACAGAAGTCGTACCAAACCATCTCAAATTCATAAATCTTGGACATTTCATAGATATAAACACTTTAAAACATTACAATGCTGAGAGGCAATGTAGCTTCAAAAGAAAACTTAATTCTGAGTATGTAAATACTAAACCAAAAGCCTAAAAAACCAATTAGCCTAACAAAACTGAACATAAAGATCTATAAACATGTCCGTAGTGACAGCTTTACTAACTAAAACAAAATACATTCTAAACCTAAATGGCAGATGTCTACATGCAGTAGTAGGGAGATTAAATATTAAGTATTATATTCTGCTTGGGAGCTAATTTATTTGGGATTATGATTATCATAAGTTTGGAATTATAAAAATCTGACTTTTAAAAAAATCAACTCATATTACTTGTATTGTAAAAGGTTCCAACTGGCACATATCATAAAATTTTCCAAATGCTGTATGTTATAGCTGCTACTTTCCTAAGATCTCTTAAATCACTCTTTTCCTTGGTATAGCCATGACCATGATCCAAGTTCATGTTCTTATTCTCAATGCCCTTAACATTCTTTTTTTTTTGCAGTTTTTGGCCAGGGCTGGGTTTGAACCTGCCACCTCTGGCATATGGGGCTGGCGCCCTACTCCTTTGAGCCACAGACGCCGCCCGCCCTTAACATTCTTTTTACCTCTGCTCTCTTTACCACCCCAACCTACTGCATGTTGGCGCCAGATTAATCTCTCTAAGGCCCTGCTTTGAAAAAAAGAACAAGCTGCTTCAGTATTTCCCGTTAATTAGATGAAACCCTCTTTTCTAGAATTCAGGACTCAAAATACAGTACCAAGCTTCCTCCTCTCCCTATGGACAGCCCAACCGCACCCCGGTCTGTGTGACACATGCAGCCTGTCTCCTATTTCCACCTCTGCTCAAGGGGGTTGCCTACTTCCCATCTTTACTTCCTCCTTCAAAGGTTCATCTCACTTTACAGAAGCTCACTAAAGTCTGTAAGGATGCGCACAAGAAGCTGCGCTGTCTCCCTCCTTGGAAACCTCAACTTGGTTAGTACAGTCTTTCTCCTTGTAGGGTTCTCGACAGCAGGGCCTGTGTCCCCTTATCCCTGTCTGCCTTATAACTGGGAACTGTGTCCCCTTGAAGTCTGCCTTATAACTGGGAACTCTGATTCTTCTGAGAAATATCTAAGGAACTGATCGAAGCAGGAAAGTCACAATATTAAGACACTGATTTACAGAAATATCATTAACCTAAAAGTTACATAAAGCATTATATCTAGGACAAATTATGCTCCAATTTACCATTTCAGCTCTTTGCAACCTTTCAAATAAGAAAGAAATCAAGACTTCATTTACATAGCACAATCTGTATCTGAGAAGTGACTTTTATTCAGTTAGCTACTTATGAAGGTTTCTGAGGAAAGACTTTGCATAGGAAGACAAGACATGTCTCCCGTCACCTTACATGATGCCGTTAACCTGGATCACCAGGTCTTAAAGCAGAATGTGAGGATGTTAAGCTGGAGAATGAGTAAGTCAAGGCAAGAGGAGAGCAGACAATGTGACCTTGTTCAAAGAACATGGGGAGGCGGGAGCCTTGGGTTTGACATGTGTGACCTAGTGCAACTACTTAACTCGCCAAGCCTCAGTTCCCTCACTTGTAAAACCTGGAAACTGGACTGAATGAACCTCCAGATGCAGTTCTAACACTCTAGAACTCCATGAGCATAACACATGTCCCCACTGGATTATTTCTAGTAAGAGACAGATAAAAAACATTACTTCCCTACATCATTGAATCTCTCAATTTTGTTTTTACAAGAACCTCACCCATCTTCAATCTAAAAAGACTCATACGTCTCAGGGTTATTTTCAACAAAGTTTCAAAATGAAAACAAAAGTTAAAACAAGCAACTAATAACAAAAAAACATCTCTGAGGACTAAGAAAAACAAACATAAGTGAAAACCAAGAACATTTCTCCACCAAACCTCACACCACTACAAATAACTGTTAAAAAACACTTTTTATAAATGAATATTGTGCTAGAAATTGAAGCTGCCAAATACATTTATAAAACACAGTGAGGTAAAACGGTAGGAATGAATGGTAAACACTCTTTCAAGTTGTTCCTGGATCTCATATCTAACAAAATAAACTTAGATTCAAGCTACAGGAATATGAAAAGCAAAAATTTCAGAATTCCTTGGACAATGAGAAACTAGCAGATTCCATGTAGTTAGCCTAACTTCAACTCCCCCACAGAGACTGCCCTGTCCTTGGGCTCTTCTCCAGGAGGATTCCTTCCCTCCCACCTTCTCCTTCATGACTTGATTAACATGCGTGAAGTCTTTCAGAATAACTTTTGACGGTGGTTTTTTTTCTTTCCCCTTAAAGCCTTCAGACAGGAGGCTTTTGAGTGCAAACCAGTCAGTCACTTCAGGTCTTCTCAGCTTCCAACTTAAACTTCTGGGCTCACCATGGTGTTGACACCTTAACGGTGCCAATAACCGAGGGTTGCCATAGCTCGGTTGGAACAAATGCATAGTGTGCGGCACTCAGGAGCGTTCTGAAACGCTAGGGGGAACAAGGATATTTTCTAGAAAATACTAACAATGAATTGAAATTCAGCTTCATCGACCTCTTTCTCTACACCCCCAAATAAATTTTTTTTTATCAGCACCCAGATGTAGCCTCTTCACGACGTCACTGCCACCCCAGCTCTGGCTGGCCCGTCTCACCTTCCGCTGCCTTGATCACATATCCGCCTTTATCTTCACCAGGGCACACAGCAAGCAGCTGCATAATTCTGTCCAGCAGCCCGTGGATCACCTCGAACCCAGGATTCTTATTGTAATAAACAGCACAGAGATGCCTGTAATTTTTTGCACCTACATCTGTAAAAATAAAAAAATTAGTCACAAGGCCCTATTAACCATTACTTAAGAAACTAATTTACCCCAACAGAAACTTGGGCCAAGTCAACAAAAAAGAAACCAACACATAGCAAAGCATCCAACCTCAGAAATGAAAATAAGATAAAATAATCTTTTTAATCCTCAAATTCCCTAAGATGTTTTATTTGGGGGAAAGAGTGAAAAATCCTTAGTGTTAGCCCAGGGACAAGAGGGCTTCACTGTAGTATTAATTGGTAAGACTCTCTGTAAATAATTTGGCAATAAGTATATAATCAGAGACTTAGAATTTTATACTCCTTTATTCAGGATACTATCCAAAGGGAATGTAGATACTAAATTAAAAAAGCCATGTAGAAAGACATTCACTACATTATTTACAATAATAAAAATTATAACCAGCCTAAAGTAAAGAATGGCTATATAAGTACAGGATAATTACTTCTCAGAATACTAAACGGATCTTGAAAAGCATTTTTTTCTTTTT